GTTGTCTTCAAAAATCCACAGTTTGACTTCACAGCAGCCCCTAGAATAGTATTTGCAGGAGAAGCAGGTGTTGATGCAGGAGGGCTAGGTAGAGAATATGGCATACTGTTGCGTAATGCAATATTCTCAGCCAAAGCCAACCTTTTCGAAGGGCCAGAAGATAGGAAAGTGCCATTATATTCGATTGATGCCATTAACTCCAGGTTGTTTCAACTTTCTGGTAAAATGGTATCATATCTAATTGTACATTTAGATATAGGCATTCCCTGTCTTAGTCCAGCAGCCTACAACTACATTGCGACAGAATCTGTTTCCCCTGAGTGCTGTTCAGTTGATGACATTGTTGATTTGGAGCTCAAGGACCTTATCTCAAAGGTAAATAGTTTCACTATATGGCAGTAAAAATACTTCACCTTTAAGGTGACCGCTAAAAGTCTTACCCATTTTCCACCATGTTCACTTTGATCAGTCAGTACTAACACTCTTTATCAGTTACTGTTATAGTAATGGTATGACACAAATGCTCAATCATTAGTGAGCATGTCATAATTTTTTTTGGCATAAGTGGTTACCATAGCAACAGTATAACCCCTTAAAAATACCCTTAATGTTAGCTTGGGGTAACCATGCGTTTTTAGAGATAGTCAAGCTTTAATCTGGAACAAAAATGTTGACTCAGCATTGCTTCCAAAAAAATGTATATTTCATCGCAGATTTCCTTAGAATTCACCTTTTCGCCATACACAAAACAAACACTAAATATATAAACAGTAACACAACAAGGACTTTTCATATCATTCTAATCTAAAATCATCACAATGGCATATAAGGAAGTGAACCTTTTTTCATCCCCACCAAAATAATATTGATGATGGAGTCTGGGATATGGTCACTTCCAATTTCACTGAAAACTTTATGTTCTTATGTTCATGAATCACAGGTGACTGCTGCTGCAGGCAGTGAAGACCTACAAGAGGTTGCTAATGATGAATTTCTTGGGAATGCACTTATAAATGCAGGATGGCTGAAGCCTCTCACAATACTCAACAGAAATCATGCAATGCAGACACTTATTGTGCATGATGTGCAGAAAAAACGACAAGAGCCACTGGATCAGTTCCGTAAAGGACTAGAGACACTGGGAATTCTTGGCCTTATCAAATCCCATCCAGACCTGATGGGCGCTTATTTCCTGAATACTTGGCAAGCAGCTTTGACAAGTCAGGAAGTACTTGAATGCCTGGAGTTCCAAGAAGAAGACAATGACAAGGAGGCCAATTATTTCCTTGTTAAAGCCATTCAGAATTTCGAGAATGGTTTGTGTCGAAATGTTATATAATAATGATGATGATGTGTGTCTGCATGTATATGACTTAAGAGTCATTGTCTGAGAAAACCGGGCAGGGTCAAAAGATGGGGGTCGGCCGATTTCCTCCAAATTAATACCATTTGATAGGCATCAGATAGAAATACGACTGGTAAAATATGAGCGTTAACGAGCTTTTAGTTTACGAGTTGACCACCCCCCTCAGTTCTGACCCCGAGAAAGCCTATGTACTGTACGAATTGAAAGCCCACTTTGAGAGCTCATAAAACTTGCTACACAAGATAATCACATTTTTTATTACTTTTCCAGTATTTTCCAAGCATCTAGCTAGACATTCGTGGTGAAAGAAATTAGTTTTGTGAATTTGCTTTTTTATCGAGCTACGTCAAACATCGTATGGTTGACGTACTTCCGGTGATACTGAAATTTTGAGCAATTTTAGAAAGCCGTTTCTCAAAAGTGCGGCAGTTTTTTTCAAGTTTTCTTCGATTTTATAATTATTTGGGGGTTTCTTATTGAATTCAAGCAAAATCATGATTGGAAACTTTTATTGTTGGAACGCAGCAAGCGATTAAAAAGTCGACAATTTGCCTTGCGTGACCTACTAA